CATGGATATGAATTGAGCATTCATGTAGTGTGTGTGCGTCTCTACAGCTGAATGTATGTATATGGCTAGCTGCTGTGTGACCCTCTACAGACCTAAGTAAAACTAAACTGATGTATGCGCAGCACCTCTGTACTACCATTAAACATCTTTAAGGTACAAGGACGGGAAAATGTCAACGAGACGTGCGTGACAGATATATCGTACCGTAGGCTTCTGGGCCAGCTATGTCCTCCTTGGCCATGCGCTCCGTTCCGAACTCAGAGGGGTATACTTTGACACTCTTCACAATACCCGCCGCAGGTTTGAAGGATTCCAACAGGCACAGGAGATCCACGGCTGTGATATACAAACATAGTGGGGAAGAGAGAGGATGATGAATGGACAAAGTACGGAGGAATGGACCACACTGCTAATGCATGTGATAGAGGCTTACACCAACAGGCACGGGACAGAATGAGAACTCGATAATCCTAATCAAGTACGTTACAGTTGATGTGCGACTAATGACAGGGCAGTTGGACTGCTGTCGGGAACCGAATGCCATATCAATATATATATATAACTCTAAACCCCTACTGAACGAGTGTGCCATGACCGACACAATGAACACTATGGACTGACATGGAGATCCTCCATTTGACACTAGACACCAGGCATAGAACCAACAACGTCCTATTAACATCCAGTACTTGTATTATTCTACAGACAGGGGCCCAGTTCATGCTCTGTACGGCAGACTAATTCGTGGTGTTCCCCCCAATCCATCCCAGCCATGAACTAGCCTGAAACCATGAAACTACATGACACTGCTGACAAGTTGACACTTCCAGACGCTGAACCTATTAGCAGCTGACATGTCTGACACTACATGTCTTGACATTTTTCGCATCTTGCAACGATCACAATCCAAACCTTTGTAACGCCTTCCTATAGTAGTGTCTTTGTCTCGGCATGTAAAACCTCGCAGCACTACTGACACCTATTCAACGTTCCAAGCCTGACGCTCAACCCCCCCGGCACTTGACATCTTGAAACGAGGGATGTCTGTTCTGGCATCTCAACACACCTCGTACGTAATCACAATCTACGCTCTGCACAGCATACATCTCGTTTGTTTGCTAGAAACTAAACATCCCATCCACACTAACATGCGATACCCCACAACGCTACTAGCATGTTCACCACTCTTGACACTTGACACGTCACCCCGTTAACACCTGACATGCTCAAGTCTGTTCTGACACCCCTACACACCTCGTACGTAATCCCAATCCATGCCCTGCACAGCAAACCGGTTTGTTTGCTCCTCCTCGTCCATCCAGTCTACATCGTCATCTTCACTTTCGCTCTCACTCTCTGGCTCAGCTCCCAATCCCATACGTTTTCGCGCTGCCTTAACGGTTTCCTCGTCAGACGAGTCTTCGCTTTCTTCTGACGACGACCCCACCACTCCGATGCCGCGGGCTGGGTCGTATTCGGCGCTGCATATACATAGTGTGTAAGTAAAGTGAGCATGCACTGTACATCATAATACATGGTATGAAGGTAAAGTGAGCTTGTACTGTACATCATAATACAGGGTATGTAGGTAAAGTGAGCATGCACTGTACAAATAGTGCATGGTATGTAGGTAAAGTGAGCATGTATTGTACATCATATTACACGGTATGTAGGTACAGCGAGCAAGTACTGTAGATTACGGATACGGACTGAAAACAGCGGGCACTCATTTTGCCCAGGTCCATGGATCAATATGTATATTTTGACATTTGCGCAGCGATGAACAGATGAAAACAAACGTAAAAATCATATTGTCAACCACCCTGCGTTTACACCTACCTTTGCTTACTGACTTTGGCGTGCTCCACTCCGTCTTCGTCCTCGTCTTCCTCTCCATCTCCGCCAGCCTCGTCATCGTCACCCTCAATGTTGTAAAACTTGGTCAACTTGTCCTTTGTGGTGTTCTTCTCTTTCCGACCGTACTTATCAACTTTGTCTGTAGGGATAGATTGTACAAAAAAAGTCAGAGAACATCTCATATCAAATTTGTCTGTAGAGATACATTTTACATATAAAGTCAGAGAACATATCTTATCAACTTTGTCGGTAAAGATACATTGTACATATAAAGTCAGAGAACATCTCTTATCAACTTTGTCTGTAAAGATACATTTTACATATAAAGTCACAGAACATCTCTTGTCAACTTTGTCTGTAGAGATACATTGTACAAATAGAGTCAGAGAAAATCTCTTATCAACTTTGTCTGTAAAGATACATTTTACATATAAAGTCACAGAACATCTCTTATCAACTTTGTCTGTAGAGATACATTGTACAAATAGAGTCAGAGAACATCTCTTATCAACTTTGTCTGTAGAGATACATTGTACTTATAAAAGTCAGAGAACAGCTCTTATCAAATTTGTCTGTAGAGATACATTTTACATATAAAGTCAGAAAACATCTCTTATCAGCTTTGTCTGTATAGATACATTGTACATATACAGCCAGAGAACATCTCATCATTTTTCCTACATATCAACATTATCTGTAGAAGCACACTGTAATTATGATGTCAGAAAATCTTATCTCAAAATAGAACTGCAGATAGACCATATCAAGTGTCATCCAAGCTATGGCAGTGTAATAAAGATGTCTGCATTCATATCAAATAATAAAATTCAAAACGACAACAATGTTGCCATGGCGAGGAGTGCTTCGTTGCACTATGGCAGCTGATGCTCGGTACTTCATGTTCGTGTGTGTATTGTATGACATTGCGAGCTATCATATGATACTGCATGCTGATGATATCATTTCATATTCGTATGGGACATTCGTATCGGAGCACATGGTGACAGATTCAATATAAAATTAAGCGATCGATATTTGAGCGAGTATAGCTTAAAATGAAATTATCAGCCTTACAAGTTATGTGATAAGCATGAACATACGATTGAGCTGAAATCTCTCTTCGCTTAACATCCCCTTGAATCGATCGTCCACCTTCAACTTCTGGTCTTGTTTGCGGGGCACCTGTGTTCCCAGGCGAAGAAGAAACAAATGCGTCCGATCACACCAACAATGTGCAAAAGTAAATAACGTTAGTAAGATTCACGTATGTATATATATGCAAAAAAATATAAATAATCGAGTCAGAGATCGAGATCGAGATAAAGAGACATAGGTA